CGGAGGCGGCGGGCACGATAATTTGTTCTTGACAGGAATGGAAGAGTAAAGCTGTTTTTTCTTGCTAATTTTGGGGTTTCCAGTCAAAACCCAGAATGGTTCCAATGTTTCCGCCCAACGAACTCAGGGGCCTGCGTTGGAATGGACACAGAAACCCTTAATTTGACACCCCCGTGATACTAAACCCAAGGACTCTCCACTGGGGTTCATAGCATACCGTACCGTGGCGGATCACCTAGCTCTGAGTTCTTAATCCTTCTAAGGCTATGCAGTCGAGACTGCATCAGGGTACAGCATCGTTGTGTGAAGGACATAGGAGGGGGGTCGTATCCCCTCCTATTTTTTCATCCAAAGATTTCTCGGTACCACTGTGAACTTTGGATGAAAAACTGGAAAATGTGGGAAATTGGTAGGTAGGTGTTGGAGAAGGGGGTGGGGTCGTACCAAGATCCACTCCTGGGTTGGGGGGTCCTACCAAGAGCCTCCTTCGAGTGACGGGGTCGTACATCACGATGCGATGCATTGACACCATCATTTCCTACATCACGATGCTATACCCAGTCTCCATGGCGAATCTAGTTTTGGACTTCAATTGCGCCCCTATCCAAAGGTCATTGGCGCTTTAATCAACCTGTAGAAAAAAAAATTGAACCTGTAGAATTCGTTCTCGTGCACCTGACAAAAAATACCGCGCCATATCTTCTCACCTGGCTATCTTTCGTTATTGTGATATTTTTGGTGGTTACCGTCATTCTTTCCTCAGTCTTCATTTTTCAGCACGAAAAACACGAGGAACACGCTCAACACGATCGCCTCGGACAGCACAGTGAGTTCATGGATTACTCTATTGACGGCACTCGCTTATTGTTGAATTTCCATCAACTCCTCGATCCCAGGGTACGTCCAACGTTGGGGTCCAGTCAGTTTGTTTTGTGAACCGCAGCCCTCCCTTCCCACCCAACTGCAGTTTTTGGGGAGAACTTAGAGAGTTAAAAAAACTTCGGAGGTGTTCCGGGAAT